ATCGGCCAGAAAATGGCACTTTCAGCAATATGCCAAAAGTGCAATTTTAGGCCGATATGTTTTCGGCGGCCGATATATCGGTGCATCCCTACACAATACATATATATCCAAATATATACATATCTACTCATAATTATTTGATACACAGTTTTATGAATGAAATAACATTGATTATGCATTTTTTCCAACATATGCACAGTTTTAACTGCCCAAGGTTGTGACAGGTTTATTAAAAAGATGCACTTCAGAAAATAATCAGTATATTAATAATAATCATCATCAGTAATTAATAATGATAATTATTGTTCAAAGCAGGTATTCCATTCCTGTAAGACATTAAATTGTTATAGCATAATGAGCCCAAAAACCCTCATGTTACAAATATCTACTAGTAACCAAATCCACAGCATTGGAAAAAAAGTGTCTTTGTATCAACCGTTTGCTTTGCTTTCAATTTTCTAAACAGCAATATGACAATGCAAACTGAAATTTGACTGGCTGCTATGACCAACAGTTCCACTTTTTGATCCACCACTTTAACAATTCAGCCTTTGAAAGGCAGCATGCTGTTTCCATAGCAAAAGAATACTGTGCTCTCTGGGCACTGCACAGCTGCACTACATCTCACACATTTACATGTTATGGAGACATTTACAAGGAGAAATTATAGTGTTCTAAAATTTGTCACTGTCAGACACAAGACGATCATTTCATTTAGGAAAAAGAGAAACATCACGGGCCCAGAATAAATTAGCTAATCTATAAATGCTACCTTGTTTGACAAAGAACTTAAAATAAAGATGTTTTTGCTCTACAATTTTTTTGAACACTGTTAAACCCACAAGCAGAACATAACATAACTAAAAAATATTTAAAGGGGCATTCGGCCCTTGAACAGAACCTAAACTCTGTCATGGCATAAAACACGTGGGCTTCAATCTCTGACCTCTTTGGAAAAAGTTTGTTTGACAGGCATGTCAATCTACTGGCTTAACATTTTTTAATTTGTAGGATTTGGCCTATTAAAAGAGTTTATAATAAAATGAAGAAAGCCTGCAATCTGAGTCATGAAATGTACAGATATACATCATCATGTCACCTCTACATTACCACAATAAATGGTAATCACTTACAAAGAGGAATGGACTTTAAGGATACCTCAGTAGTGGTTCCATCAAGCATACAAAATGCACTGTCTAATAGGGATGCACCAATACCGTTTTTTCGGCATCAAGTACTGATATTTCCGCTAGCATGGAGCCGGCTTCCCGGGCAATCAAGAAGCTGCCTACAGGCTTCTTGATTTCCAGGGAAGCTGGCTCCATGCTGTTTGGCCGAGAAGCCGGCTTCCCAGCCAATCAGCATCAAGCCAGCCAAACAGCGCGGAGCCAGTTTCCCGGCCAATCAGGAAGGAGGGAGGCAGGTAATTACCCGCCGGCCAGGCTTCCTGATTGGCCGCCGGCTCCATGCTGTTTTGGCTGGCTCGATGCTGATTGGCTGGGAAGTCAGCTTCCCGGCCAATCAGCATGGAGCTGTCCAAACAGCATGGAGGCGAGGCATTACCCACCACTGGGCTCCACTCACGGCACTGCCGGTCAGAGGAAATCTCCCTCTGACCAGAAGTCCTGGTATCGGGTAAGTATCGGAGCATTTGGGCGAGTACTGGTACTTGCTCAAATACTCGGTATCGGCACCGACACCGATACTAATATCAGTGCATCCCGATTGCCTAACATACAGCCACTAGAAGGAAATTCTACATATCTGCATGCTGAATATCACTGAACATGAACTACTATCTTTAATTTACATGGAAACTGGATCACAGAATTAACTAATCTACCGTCTTTATTTTTTTTTTATAAAGAACATTTTTTATTCTTCATATGCTAATCCATACACAGACCAAGTGCATTGTTGGCTAAGTAGAAAGCGCTAATTAAAACTATTTTGTGCCTGTTCCTTTTGTTTGCCGCTTGAAAACATCTGGCTATTGTATTTTGTCAAATAAAGCCAGATGTTAAGTGCATCTGGTAATGGCACCTAAACAAAGGTTTTAATGCAATTAGGAAGACCAGACTGCTGTGAGGCCTGTATGAAAATGTGATAACAATTCTGCTGGGATCTCTCAAGCAGTCACACAGGCACTACGTGCTCAAGTACCACATGACCAAAGAGAGCAAAAAATCTGCATCTTGTAATTTGTTCTCAGACACAATAAAAGATTAGATAGAGCAATTACAGATCCTTCAGATATAGTTCATAAAACATTCCAAGTAATAAGTGTTAGTAGCTATCGAAATAGCCAACAGATCTAAAATAAAAAAAAGGCAGAAACTGCTACTATATTATAGATAATAGAAAAAAAAATAGTATTGGGCTGTTTAATGAAAACTGCAGCACAGAAAAAAAGGATATGCTGCACCAAACGACCAGATTTCTTGCTTCCCATCCCAATGCAGATTAGAAAATAAACAATAAACCCTTAAAATGGATAGTGAAAGCATGAACACCTTTTTAACTGGCTCCATGTTACACAGATCACCCTCTGTTTGGCACACATAATGCTGGCCACACATGCATTATACACGACTATTTGATCTGAGCATTCAATCAATCAGATGTAGAAAACGATTGTTCAATATAGCATAAGCCATGCATTTGTTAGCATAAATCCAGTTGCTGTCAATTACTGATTCATTAGATCAGAAATGACAAATAATGCTTCCTTTGAGTTAGAATAAATCAAAGATATATAGTGACAGATGAGCTTTTGAATGATCCCTTCTTTTTTAGCTTTGATTCAGTGTCATAAAATTGGTAAAAATGAATTGAAATAGCAGTGAAACACAATTGCCATTTTCTACATTCAATCAAAACATTAGATGGGTCAATCAAATAATCAGTTTGATATGTTTATAAGCATAAGGCATGGATGTAGATATTCGCAACAACAACCTTTCCAGGTGACAGGTAAGTTTTCGGCTGATATCCAAGGTGCGTCTTCAAATATGAGCAGTCATCACCAGCCCACCAATACTGGAAAGGTAAATCAATTAGCTGAAATGTACTTTATCCACTAGTTGCTACTATTCCTCTTTGATAAGGTTAACATTGCCTCTTCATTTAATAAGCATCTGCACTTGGTGAATGGCTTGGCAAAACAGCCAGGTGCTCTTGTACACAGATGCGATCTCAAGCAAGCAAAAGGTTTGGGGCCTCTTAAGCAGTTGTCTACATGAAACCTCATGCTGCCCATGGCAATTTTGCTGCTTTCAAACAGCATTCAACTACAAATGTTTCCTGGTTTCATGGGACCAGTTGTGGTGCAAATCAATCAAAAGTGCCTGGATGAGTAGCATTGTGGTAGGTTTGATAGATTTCTACAACTTTTTAAAAACTTTTCAAAAGGACCAACAACCAAACGGATCACGGCATCATTTCACCAAAACCTTAGATTAATGAATGGTGTGAACAGAAACTGGTAATAGTAGGATGAATTCATCTATTCAGTAACTTTTATGGGTTTCAAAGCTGGTTGAAATTGCCTGAAAACTGACAAGTGTGGCCAACATTAGTCTCTGAGTCTGAATTAAAGATAAGTGATATAAACTTTTAATTGAATGATACAGTTTTGTATTATCATACACAAACCCTTCATATAGCCTCTTATAAACTATAAAGGATAACGTCCTTGGCGACTCGCTATCAGGAGCTAGGTCCTTTATTTGGTGGAGGAGGCATAAGGGGAAAGTTTGCTTTGGGAAGGGTTGTGAAACAATTATCACAGCCTGCAAAACACTGGCCACCACTAGAGTCCGACTCGCCCAATTCTGCTGGCTAGATACATAAAGACAGATACTTGCACACAATTTGGTGCACTCTAAGGGCTGTGAAGTAACAAGGTAATTCTCAAACACTTCTGAGATTGTCCAAGCTATCCTGTGGACTGGAATCTTGGCACACTTTCACCTTTCTCACTGCCCACACACACCGGACACTTGACTTGGGGTAGCTGGCCACCATCTGCAGTTTGTCAGCTGACTGGTCTACTAGGCTACCATACACACACACACATCCTTATATGACAGATATAATAGATTCCCACTGACACTAATCTACATGCAATCAGCAGCCCCATCCCTGTTTGTAAAGACCTCTCCTTCTCTGTTGCTTTTGCAGTCACACTGTCTGTAGGATTCTTTTGAGGGCTTGTGAGGTGATTTTTTGATTACTCCAATGTACAGCAGCAAGAGTACAGGTACTGTCAGAGATTTGTTAGTATCTAGGTGATAATTCTTCAAATGCCCAGGCCCAAGTCATCTATTTTTGTGAACATTTGTCTACTATTGACCACTAAATTAAGAACATATCTCACTTTTAATGTTACAATAACTTTTAGCAAAATAGTTATATGAACATAAATTAGTAAGCAGATTTTTTAGGTAGCTAGTACCAGCAGAGACAATCAGGCAAAAGCAAAATAAAACCTTCTGGATTACTACAGTGCTTTGCACAAGTATCCAGTCCCCTTAGACGTTGCCACATTTGGTACTGTTTGGTACTGTAATGACTTAACAGCTAAACACAATGGCCACTATTCCTTACTCTTGCTATTAGACCTTTCTGCTGCTTTTGACACTGTGGACAACCTGCTCCTCCTCAAAAAACTCCACTCACTTGGCCTACAAGACTCTCTCTCATGGTTCTCCTATTACCTATCTAAGCGCTCCTTTAGTGTCACCTACAAATCTAATTCCTCCCCTCCTCTTCCTGTAGGGGTCCCCCAAGGCTCTGTCCTTGGACCCCTTCTCTTCTCTATCTACACCTCCTCTCTTGGTCAGTTAATAACCTCACATGGCTTCCAATACCATCTCTATGCCGATGACACTCAAATCTATCTCTCTACTCCGCAACTCTCCCCCTCAGTGTCCTTGCGTGTCACTAATCTACTATCTGACATATCCGTCTGGATGTCGCAACACTTCTTAAATCTCAACCTTTCCAAAACTGAACTCCTGATATTTCCTCCTGCCCGTGCACCTTCCCCCAACTTTTCCCTTGAGATTGTTAACACAACTATCCAGCCCTCACCCCATGCCAAGTTCCTAGGTGTCATCCTTGACTCGGATCTCACCTTTCTTCAATTTATCAATTGCCCCTCCCTTTTAGATTGTAAGCTCTCACCGGCAGGGCCCTCCTTACCATCTTGTCTTAAATTGTATTGTGACTGTAATGTCTTCCTTATATTGTAAAGCTCTGTGCAAACTATTGGCGCTATATAAATCCTGTATAATAATAATAATAATACTGTTACAAGCTGGAATTAAATTATTTTATCTGTGTTTGTCACCACGTGCTTTTAAAAATATACTTTACATTTTGAAGGTGAAACATATTTTGACTCATATTTGGCTGCAATTACAGTAGTGGATCTTTTGGGATAAGTCTCTAAAGATTTGCCGCATCCTGTATGATGTTTTAGCCTTGTATGATTGGAACCATTGTTGAACAGCAACTTTAAGAGCTTGACAGTTTCCCAGCTGGATTGATGTTTGGGCCAGTCAGATATTCAGGTTCTTGGTGTGTAACCTTGACTGTGTGCTTAGTCATGCTAATGTTAACTATCATGCTAAAAGGTGAACCCTTGCGCTAATTCTCAGATGTCGTTCCTCGCTTCGGCAGGACATATACTATTTCTCAGATGTCTTGCAGATTGAAAAAAAGTTTCCTCTAGAACTGGCCTATATTTAGCTCTATCTATCTTGAATAACTAGATGTGCCGAGCTAAGACAATGATCAGATATAAAGAGTAATAAAAAAAAAAAAAATTAAAAAACAGTGACTCAAACAAATGTCAGTGAAAAAAAATCAATCAGGTGTAAAGAATCTTGCCTTCAGTTCTGATCAGTTTGCCAGTTACTGATAACTAAAAAGCACCTTTTTCTACATATTTACAGAGTCTCCCACCTGCCTTTTGGTAGACTTGATTTGATATATTGTTTTTGCAAATACTTTCTTCTTGTTCCTCTATAATGAAGCCCAGGTTGGTGGCACATGCAGGTTGAAGTTGTCCCATGAACAACTTCTTCCACCTTAGCGGTGGATGTTTTCAGCTCCTGCAGACCATTGGCCTCTTTCAGCTTGAAGATATAGTATGTGTTTTAAAGCACAATTAAATGATATTCAAACACTATTCAGACTTTTAAAAAAATAGCCCACAGAGTTTAGAGACTCAAGACTTGCATATGGCACGGGTGTATTTGTGGTCTCGCAAGAACAAGAAGCAATTTTTACCATGTGAACCATAAAAACTCTTTAGAAACATTTATATTCAACTGTCCACAAAGTTCTGACAATGAGGAACCTCAGATAGATTTAACCTCTTGCCGTCCGCCCGATCGTCTATATGTGCTCGTTCGCGTCCCCCCCCCCCCCCCCCCCCCCCC